ACTATACAGAGATCGATTGGTATACCAATGTCGTCTTGAGTTTCTCTGGAAATGTGCTTATTGATTGATATAATACACTTTGTCTAGAATTGACGTGTTATTGGTTGAAAATTTTTCATTAGGGAAATTATAATAGATATATGTATTGAAATAGCATTCTGTAAAAGGAATATTTTGAAAGCGAAAGAAAAAAGTGAGATTACACGATGAAACCAGTATTTCTGTCAAAGTAACGAGTTGTAGTAATACTGATTACCCTACATTTACTTTAAAACAGTAGAATGGGAGAATTGTATAGGCATTTTGTTTCTATGTTGTTTATACTAGAAAAACAGTTAAAGCTAAATGTAAGCGCTGTTAAGTTAAATATCTTGAAATATGACTAAAAATTAAACGCGCATTCTTCATGTTTTGTGACTTTTAGAGAGAAATCAACCCAACCGTGCTGTCACTCCTGTCACTACAGCAGTATCTAATTCACTACTGTACAAGGTACGTCTACCAATTTAATTTTACTGAAATTTATGAATGTAAAAGATGGAAGTATTTCATTACTTCCCTTCCTCAGTAACTCATCAAGTGGCACAAGCCTGCATCAAACTGACGTTAATGGATTTATACATAATGTTGCCTGATCAGATGAAAGAGTTCGATCTCTCGTTCACTTTAATGGAAGTAACGCCCTTTCCACATGGTTGAAAAACCCTTTCGTGCAGATTTTTTTGTAAGCTACATTCAACCCACAAACTTCCTGGCTGCGAGTAGCTGGCGGGAAACTCTCTTTATATCGTGCAGATTTTTTTGTAAGCTACATTCAACCCACAAACTTCCTGGCTGCGAGTAGCTGGCGGGAAACTCTCTTTATATCGTGCAGATTTTTTTTGTAAGCTACATTCAACCCACAAACTTCCTGGCTGTGAGTAGCTGGCGGGAAACTCTTTATATTGAGAATATAGATGTCTCCCCGAAATTTTTCATAGTTAGAATAATATTCACAATGAGGGAATTAAAACTTTTAAGATAACCACTTTAATTCATTCAGAGACGTCGACAAATATAAACAATGCATATTACATTGCTGATCAATTCTGAAATATTTATGAGCTCAGTCCACCAATCGTATGTTATTTAATGATAGATAATGCAGCCCATATGAATACCACTTGGGAGATGTTCATGAACACTCGTCTAATGAGTATCTTAAAACATTCTAATTCGTATCTCTCTCACACACACAGCACCTGCCATTCTGAAAGGTCAACTTCTATGGCACTTTATTTCATCAACCCAACAATATAAACCTCAAGAAACTTCAGGGGCTTCATCCATTAACTACCTAAAATATATTTTAACCTGGGAGAGGCAGTCCCTGGAAGGTGTTCCACAAAGTTCCATAAAATGTACTCTGGGTGAAAAAGCTCAAAATTCATTCAACTCCTTGGGTCTATAGTGTGACAAATTAAAAGAATACATTTATGATGTCTGATGTCAAGTAGCAAAGATTTCTCACCACTGCTGAACACATACATAAGGACGTATAAAAAGAAGATGAATATATCAACGTTGGTGAGAACCAAGTAAAGGAAAAGATCCAAGAATAATATAAGTAAGCTATCACCCCAGCCCACAGTGATGTTTAATTGATCTAGGTTATCAAGAGAAGGATTTATAAAATGGGGAAATAGATTCAGAATATCTTATTAATGTTATGGCCATTTTAAAAGCTGGCTAATTATAAAACAAGAAACACACCAATTAGTTATTTCTGCTGTGGAACTTAAAAATAATCTGTCAATGAAAATGGTGGAAAAGCTGACAATTTTTCCTATATTTTAGCATCTGTAGCCAAAATTCTTGCCCCCCCCCCCCGAACTACAGCATATGCTGAGTGGAAATGATCTGTTTGAAAAAACCAATGTAAGCTACCCACTTATATATAATAAAATTTCTCAACCTTTCTCACCTATAGGCCCACTTAGTTATTTAGCATGATAGTAAAGGACCATATATGCAGTTGATAACTTATTAGTTTAGAGCAGTCAAGGTCGTTCTGGCCCATAACTATGTGTCTCATGGTCCAATGGTTGAGAATCACAGATATACATCACAATATCTAGTTGTTTAAAAAGATCCCAGAAGCCTCACTCCAATACTAATCTGATGAAAGTAGACTTCTGGAAACTGATGTAGGGAAAGGAGAGAAACAGTATGAAAATAAATAAGGCAGTGAGGAGCAAATGATAAAAGAAGAAAAAAATTGAGGAAGAAGCATAGCTTCACAGATCACAATTTGATTATCCTAAGCCATTATTTTTTTTGTAAGGTGTTAATGTTTTAAAATAATTCACAGCTGACGGCCTCACTACAGAATAAAGATGAACCTGACATTTTGATACGAGTAAAAAGTAGACAGAAAATCTAAGAGATAAGGAAATTATACATACAGTTTTACTATATATTCTTGATTTTAAAATTAAAGTCAAAAACTTGTGTTCGGTTTTTAAATAATGGATGGGGATGAGTTAAAACTTCAGAAACTTTAACATAAATTAAAATTTCAAAAGTTTTCAATGTTCACTCATATTTCTTGATCATAAAATTAAGCAATATTTCATCATTATCTGAATTTTTTCTTAACTTGTCTTATACCCAAGCCTTACATTTTAATATAAAAGAAACAATGTAATTATAAAACACAAAATTTGATTAAAATTATACAGGTAGAGGAATAATTATCACATAAAATAATATTAACTAATCTAAAATATTAATCAGATGATAACTTTGGTAATCTCGGATAACGTAGTTTGTCAACTATTTCAGAAAAAGTAAAATTTGATTTTTCTTTTAAATAGACACACAGGATGATTATAGAAAAAAGTCTTGCAGTTCATAATATCACATCTCAAAAACAGTAGAGCATGTGGAGGTGAAATTGCACAGGGGCATTAAGGGTTTCATATGGTTGCAAATGCCACACCTTGCCATCAAGAATACCATTATGACCTAATATCTGATCAATCACAGCAACAGTTCAAAATGTGTCCCTCCAGCACCCAGAATGCACTGCTTATGTTTGACAACAGGTATTGCAGTTACAATCTGAATCTCATCTGGTACACTGGCCACTTTCCAAACAACTGTATCCTTGAGGTCTGGAACTGTGTGTAGCCCCACAACCAGAAATGGACTGATGTTAGGTCTGGTGAATGAGTTGACCATTCACAGAGAAAGTGACATGAAATAATGCTGTCCTAAAAGTGCTCCCACACACACATTTGGTTACTAATATGCAGAGGAGCACATACTGAATGAACACTTCAGTGTCTGTCACATTTTGTTGCTGCAGCTTCAAAATCACACTGGTTATGAGCACTGCATGGTATTTTGCTGCACTGATTGTGCACATTTTCAGTCCACATGCCAACAATTGTTGAAAAGTATGGTCCAATAACTAAGTCAGCTGGGAAAGCACACCACATCATCACCTTAGAACCACAGAAGTGCGTAGGAAACACTACACTTGAATTAACTTTTTACCAGATAATGCAGTTGACACTTTCTGTACAGATGAAGTGTCTCTCATCAATCTTTAAGATATTGGCAGACCATTAGTCATCAACTTCTAGTTTTGCCAAGAACTACAACACTCAACACATATAGATAAATCTGTTTCCTTCATTGCTTGAACATAATGAAGCATTTGCAAAGTTGATGAAGAGCCTTATAAGCAATTGAAACTGGCAAATCCAAACACTGGGTGACACAAGTTGCACCACTAAACCCATGTGCATTTGTGCTGGCTTGTTTTGCTATGGCAAGGCTGACCTCAGCAATAATTTCAGTGGATGGTGGTGGTCTGTTTCTACATGGCTTACCAGAAGTGCAACCTGTTCCTTCAAAGTTCTTTATGAACTTGTGTACAGCAACACCAGAACAAGACCCACTGCTGATAATATGCAATCTACAGTATTTACCATTACATCCTTTGGTGTAATAACATTTTTCAGTTATCCACCTCTTTTCACTCATCAGTTCATGGGAAAGATGCAAAAGAAACCACATTTTGGGCTTCTGATGGCTTCATGTAACAACTGTGACACATCCATATGATACCCTTAATACCTGTGCTATTTCAACTTCCTATACAATACCATGTGTACTCTATGATGCACTGAAATACCATGTATGTGTACAATAACTACAATTTTCACAACCACTGTAAATTCAAAATTTTTGTCAAGTAATTGTGATAAAAATGCAAATTAAAAGTGAAATGACATAGTTCTAACAAATTTATGAGTTTTTGAAAGGCAGGTAAAACATTTATGACTAAAATAATTACATCTTTAACCTTTCATAATAAATTATTTGAAACATATGAAAGTAGTAAGTTATTTGTGTACATATGTAGTGAATGAGGGCTTACTAATTTTAATTATTTTTTTGTAAACTATCAACATTTAGCTATGTTTTCACCATACATCAATCATAGCTCTCATTATAATCAGGTAGTCTTTGCGGTAGTGATCGCAAATGCAATTTTATTATCAGAACCTGTGATAGTTGTTTTAAAATGCTGATTCCATTTGAGTTATTGAACGAATGCTGGTTTATGCATCATTGGTCCTGTACGCACTAAAATAAGTATGATTCTTTAAATATGTTTCAGTATACAAAATGTACATCTCAAACTGTCAAGATGAAGAATCACAAGCAGACATCATTAACAAGTAGAGATAATTTTTAATCTATTTTTCTCTTTTTTTTTTTTCTCACAGTGACACAAACACATTAAAGATTCAACTGAACAAGGCTTAGCTTGATGATATTAAACCTGAAATCACAAAAAACCTGATTTTAGCCGACTGTTTCATTTCCAACAAATAAACAAACTTGGCCCTGATAAAATTTATAACATATAATAATAAAAAAAACATGGAAGTAAGTGTACTGAATAACTATTCACCTTATATATAAGATAAAACAGTTCTAAAAAGCACATACAAATGGATCTAAACATTTTATTATTCTCCAGTTTTCAGAGCTGCTCACAATACTTTAGAGTAGTTTTTCTAGAAATGTCTACAAGTTGAAATGACAAACATTACTTTAGGAAACACATCTAAAACTAAAAATGGAATTTATCAGATATGAACTTTTTTTTCAACATTAGACTTGTAAAAAGATCACCCATTTGTAGCATTTCTTAATTTTAAAATTGTTTCTAAAATTTAAATAAATCTGATAGGAAGAAATGGAACTTGACAAAGCATGTGAATTGAAAATGGAATACTCACAGCATATGTCTGTGCTTGTCAACAATCAATTTTAAATACCTTATATATATAACTGTATATAGATAAAGATACGACATAACTTAAAAAGTTACAAAAGAAAGTGCTTGCTCCCAAGACCAGTGTGGAATATTCCTAAGACCTCGAGTTTTCATCAGTTGGTTAAAGAAAAAAAAGAAAAAAAAGAAAGCTAACACATTATTAAACAAATATTAAGTTTAAAAACAAAATCTCATTTTAAACACAAGCACATATATTTTCTAACTAAAAACCAATTAACCAGTCTTTTTAACTCTGTCATCTTGAATCTAAACAGTAATCAAAAGAAAAGCATAATTCCACAAACTTAATATGCATATAAAAACTTTTCAAACCAAGAAAAATAAATCTACACAAGTCTTTATTTTATGTTAAAAGCTAATAGACCTGGGCTCCTTGCTGCTTCATTATACTGCTTTCCTTCCAACTACGTCGAGCTCCCACTTCTAGCTACAGAACAATTAAAGCAAATAAATGATCAAAATTCATATACAAGAACACTGAGTTTCATAATGACATGATTATTCATTTCTAAATTTAAGAAAAGAAAATTCTGAAACAGTATACAAAATAAAAATATATTTTTACATAAAATTGGAAACAAGTTAAAATATTTTGGCTAAATGTAACTTATATTCATTATCTGGATAATCTTTCTTCATTCCATTATAAACCTTTAACTAGTACAATCAAATTATTTCACAAAGTTCAAGAAAGAGCAAACAGTTCTAAATTACTTCAAAGCAAAGAAAAGCCTTCAAATGTTGCTTAACTTCAGCATTATCAGCTTTCAGCTGGGAAGAAATAAGTTTCATGAGATTTTTATAAATCTTTATAACTATTATTTAAATAATTCTGTAGCAAGACAGAAAACTAAGCAAGTACATTGTGCCCCAATCAACTTTCAGTCAAAATTGACAAAATATTACTTTTTAAGCAAATGTGTTTTGAAGATATCTACATGAAGACAGAAGTGGTAAGATTAGTCAATGTTTAGATACACATGCACAAAACAGCATTAATTAGTGACTTGACTTTTTGAACAAAAGATACCAATACTGAAGTTCTGTGTGAAAGGCTAGTCAGGACTGAACAATGCACATGTTGATACACATAGAAACCATGTCCAGGGTTACCAAGAAGTTACAGGACTGGTTAATACAGAGCACAGGTTTCATTAATTGAGTTCCAAAGCGATGAGCAAGCAGCACGGAGAACTAGAGATTTCAAAGCACATTGTATTACTTTTTCTTCAAAGTAAAGAAGCTGCGACGTTTATGTTCATCCTTGCGCTCTCCTTCAGCCTTTGCAGGAAGGGTCTGGGAGCGGGAGGGGCCTGCTGAGCCATCAGCCTCTGTTAATGCAACTTGAAGTTTCTGAATCCAGCTATTCATTTCATCCTAAAATATGTTCAAAACAAATCAAAAAATTAATAATACATTCTAAATATATTTAGCTAACAAATGAAAAGTATCTTGAGATAAGTTTGTTGTTAGGTATAGCACATCCTTATTTTTGGTTCTTTTTTGTTTATATTTCTTGCATAAAATTATTTTCACCAAATTATTTCTAGTGCAGGCATTAACCCTTTTGCTACTGCCTCAGTGTATTACACTGACCATGTGATCTCAGAGTTTCCATACTGAAACTTTTAATTTTGTTGTGTATTTTCATGAAACTTCTCAAGCTTTTAATAATCATTACAAGTCTTTTGCAGACAAAAAGTCAGAATTTTAAATTAAGTATTTTGACTAAAAATTTGTCTGTGTATATATGGAGTCAGAGTGTTGACTGCTCCTAGTGCAAAGTGCTTTTCATGTTAAGATAAAAAATACTTTTCTTCATCTGAAAATCTTAAATTTCATTTGCATAATCTCTAAACCTCCTAAATATAAAACATTTCTCATCAGAAAAACATTATATTTTATCTGTTATCTTCTCTACCCTAACTTTATAATGGGTCAATCAATTCAACAAACCCTTGTAACCTTGTAAACATCAGAAAACTTTAAAGACTGAAAAATGCAAAATAAAGTGAGTAGTATTGTTCTATCATTTTTAGCATTGGCCATGAAGTTCCAAGGTACTTCTCCTGAGTGTTTACGTCTAACCTTTTCACATCTATTTTCTATGTTTATTCTATTGTTAGCAGCTGAAACAGAAACCTGCTGAAACATTAAGCAATGAATTATCACTCCTGCCATTAGACTGTTTACGTGACAACATAATACACCACCATCAATATCAAATAAGCTTGTGTAGCACAATTAGCAGAACTTTCCCATAGAGTTTATTGTATTCCCAGCTCTGAAAACACAGTGGGAGAATATTTATTGGTTGTTTACAGTACAGTGGTTGCAATGGGAATTGTCTAAAGTAATAAAAGTGCTGAAAAATGTCTATGAGATGGCTCTGTACAAAGTCCAGGCAGATCCAATAAACTTGATAGGAATTTTGTTGTTAGTTATCCTCACGGGGGTGGTCAGAATTTAGCAGTATAGGTGTAAAAAGTGTGTAAGTGCTTATCAACATCTATATGTTACTGTTTACTCATAAATACTTAAATGTTTTTTCTTAAAGCATATGATTTCTAGTACTTACAATGTTACAAAATTGATTTGTACTCATCCATCATACTTTCTAAGCCTCACTGTAAGTCTCGTTTATTCTCTCCAAGTGGAGAAGGAAGACAAATTAATTTCTGTAGATTTCAAAGATGCATTTTAGAAAAACCAATAAAATGATCAAATTAGTATAATGGAACACATAAAACCACTGTAATTTATTTCTAACTAAGCTATATGTGTGTTGAAAAAATATTTCTGTTCAGAGCAATGACTTCGTCAATGTACGTTTCCCTTTCAAACCAATTACAAATGAAAATCAGATTTATGTAGCTTGGAATGTGTTCTTTCTATTGGTTCTAAACATGTAGTTAAGAAAAGTTGGCATGAGTAGACAAGAGGTTTTAAAAGAATGGAGTGGTGAGTGGAGTTACCCTAGCAAGTTTGCAAAATATATTGATATCTCAGCAAATCAAAAGGTGAGAGGTTCTTATTTTATATTCCAACATTTAAATGTGAAATTTTAGTTTCTAATTCATTAACCACTACAGACATTGTATGGTAGGCATAATAAAATATAAACTGAGCAATAAGACTAGAAGACATGCCAGATGGCACACAAAAGACATTTAGCATTTTTAAAAATATTTTCTTTCAAATTAAGAAATTGAAACATATATAATATTAAGATTTGATTTATGAACTATATTGTGATTCCAATTTTTTGCCATACAATGATAATAAGTTTATTTAAATTTTGAAAATAACGAAAATGCTGTGACATGTTCCTACTTTGACCCGTTTGTAGCAAGAGGGTTAAAAGATCCTGTTTTATAATTTTCCTTACAAAGCTTTTTCAATTTTTGTTGGCAGAACAATCACAACACACACACACACTGGAAATTTTTTTAGTTGACAATTATTCCAAATGAGACCAAAACAAGTTCCACACAGACATCACCTAAAAGGAACATTTCAAAATTTGGTTCAGAAACAGAAATAATGTAACTAATGCTTACAAACTATCATCAAATTGTTAAAGTTTAAAATAACTTGTGATGAAAATATAAAAATAAAAGGCTGATACTGCAATAAACATCCGAAGTTCGTAACTTAATATTTTACCAACTTTTAAAAATAGTGTCAATAACAATTTAAAAGCAGTAGCTGCTAACTCTCTAAAAGTGGATGTTAAACTTGTATTTCAGTATGAAAGATCTTAATTCTTAAAATAATAAAAACATTTCAACATACATCATCCTTTCCTTGAAAGAGATATTCACCACCAGCAGATAACCTGAAAAAAAGGTCATACAAAGCTATGATATAAGACATACAAAAGCTGTTTCTTCACAATGTATGGAGTAAATTCTTCAACCTGGTTACGAAGGTTATTTTTATTCTTCTGATTCTGCTTAAACTTGCTTATAAAACGGTTTGTCTGGTGTAGTAGAACTATTTAAACTAGAGATATAAAGACAATTATGCTTATTAATTGATTATTCAGTATGCTAGTTTCATTATGTGTTGATCCATTAAATAAATAAAATTTGTGCTTGTTTTGTTCCACAAAAGACCACTACAATCTCTATTAAATAGAAACAAAAATATTGCATCTTAATATTTTGATAAAAACTAAATCACTGACATATGAATCAAAGATTTATCACAATTCTACGTTGCTTTACTACAGCATTCTCAGCTTTCAGCTGGGAAGAAATATGTAGCCTTAGATGACAGCGAGGGCTAGATGAAATTAGCCTTCCAAAGAGTTATTTTTCATAAATAGACTAGAAGAAGAAGAAGAAGAAAAACAAAAAGAAAACTGGGAATGTTAGACAATCGTTCTTTTAACAAGTGATCTTCAAAGTTAAACTGCAATGTGGAAAAATAATTCAATGATCGTTTAACTGAACCTCAAAAATCCACAAAAAGGAAATGCTTTCATCTTTAGCTCTGCAGTATTTTTGAAGCTTCACATTTTGTAAAAATATATATAACATGGAAGAAAAAATGAGCTTTTTCATAATTTTTGTGTATTCTTATGAATATGACCATGTTTATTCAGGCCTTTGAGAACAAGAATGAAGAAATGATTAAAAATAGATTTATAATTTTCAATAGCCAACTCCTCTTCCAGCTACTTATAAAACTCACATGTAAAAAATGGAGTTGAGAAGACAGAGAGAGAGATAAAAAAGGCACTTACTTTAGCCTGAAAACATGTTTCTTCTTGGTATAATCTGAAGCTACTTCAACAGTGGCTCCCCTAAGGTCAATTGGGGACTCATTGCGGAAATAGAATTCTGGTTCCTAAAGTTCAACAATCCAGATATTAAGAAGTACAACAAATATTAGCTAAAGAAATTCATTTCATCATTAGGTAGCTTTAATGCAAAAAAAAGAAAAAAAAGATATGTTGAGAGGAAAACTGAGCACATTACTATTTTTAAGCCATACAGACTATAAAACATATAATGAACTTTATACATGAAACATTTTCTGTAAAATTAAACACCTGTAAAAAGCTAAATAAGTTTACAACACCAACATTAACATTGTAGTTCGAGATTCAAATTAAACAAAGATTAGATGACTTCATATATCTTCAGAACTTTATTAAACAAAAGAATGGCCATAGTTCCTACTTATATATTAAACTCACCTGTTTGTAATGTTTCTGATCTTTATAGGCTAACAACATACTTCCACGAAGAACCAAGTAGATCTTATCCCAAGACCTGAGGATTTTAGATAAGTTTTTGTAAAGTAGTTCAGGTCACTTACACTTCAACAAAACAGGTTCTCTACTCATATAACAGCTAACTTAAATACTAAAGATAGCCTTTTAATTGAATTAAAAAACTGTACAACTTACACAGACAGTAATGAAACATTATCATTTCTTCCATAGCACTAAGTTCAGTGACAATAAATATCTTGTTCAGAAATAAAATAAGTGCTTTTACATAAAGATATTATTATAAAATACAAGATAATTTTAGCATTTTTACTTCAATAAATTTAAGCATAAGAAAAGAAACTAAACATACTTTTGCCCACATAAATTGTGATGCTGGATTTACTACTTTATATTTACAAAAGTGATTTTTATTTTCTAAAGTGAATAAAACAGAAATAAACCTGTCTAATCTGAGTGTATTTCATAATATGAATTTACTACTGACTATTAGCAATGATACTATGTAGTTAACACTTACATTAAATCAGACACTACCCTCATTACTTGCCCTTTGATTGTACAAAAAGGACAAAATGGCATTACCATTATTACAGAATAATTTATTTTTTTAAACAGACATCTCTAAAATTATAAACCAGTCACAGTACATTAGTAGCAGCTAAGTTTCAAAAAGGAAAGAATGAAGAAGAAGAAGAAAAAAAAAAAGAAACGGAAATTAACAAAAGAAACTACAGCCTGTGGATTTTAAAACATTTAGAGAAAAAAAAACATTTTCAAATTTAAAATACAACTATCAAACTACAAAAACTTAGTTCTTTTTTAGGCCTACTATTGACCTGAGGTACGTATGTACTGAAAAATTAAAAAAAGTCACAGTCAAGGTCTGCTACGTATAGTTAGCTAGTAAGTTCACTATCAAAAGTTGTGTAACTGGACATTCATCTATGCCAAATTAGATTTATTTAAAGCTTAAAACAATGATTTTTTTTAATGTACTAACAAAGTAATAATAATGCCACAAAATGTAATATGAAAGTCACAACAAGACGAGTGTCAATCGATAGCAATTGTATTTTCTTCAACCATATAGATGACCTTATTACCCAATGAAAACCTCCACTTGGTAAAAAACATTTAGTATGGTTTCACACAGGGTTGTTTTGCATTAAGTTACAAAACCCAATAAAATATGTAAATGCTATTAAAGAACCAAAGCTGTATAAATTTAAAGATGTAACTTTCAAGTAAAATAATAAATTTATTTAATGCTTTCAATAACAGAATTCATAAAATATACATATTATTGTAGCATTAGAACATGTCATTAACAAATACTCTGGAGCAGTTTAATTAATATTAGTTATGTTGTACATTTATATCAACTGTGAAAAAATTATGATTATTTGATAAGAAAATGCCTTTTCAGTTAATTGCGGTTTATTAGTCAAATTCTCCTGCTATACAAATTTCATTCTATTTTTCAAGCACAGTTCAGTAGTTTTATCTAAGGATTACTAGACAAAATTGTTTCTTTACCTATTGGTTGCTTTCTTTGTAGTGGACTCCCATTCATGTTTCCTCACGAGTAATCCTTCAAACTGAGTATCTTCTTCTGAAGGAGCAGAAACAGGACTAGATTTCTCTGTAAAAATGTAGCAACTTGGGGTCAAAAGTAAGTAATCATAACTGCCTTGAATATTTTAATTGGTTATGGTTAAAAAAAAGTTAGCTCTGCTCTAAAATAATAATTTTCAAAGTAAAAATTATGAAAAGTATAATGTGAAACTATATAAACCATTCAACACATGGTATTCAAACCTGGATCAGATCTATAATAACTTTTAAAACTTGTTTCTTTACAGTTTTAATGTGTCACATAAAGGCAAGGAAAAAACAACATAAAATCAGTTGATATTATATGATTCCAAGTTTTATTAAAAAGAAAGTGGTGAAACAACCAAAATGCTTAAAAAATTAGAAAATGTAAAGAATTTTTGGTCAGCATTTTAAACTTTAAATATAAAAGATGAAATAGTTTAAGATAATGCTTACAATTTTAAAAAAGCAAAAAAAACAACAACAAACAAACAAGCGATAATATGACCTAAACCACCATATAATAATAAATATAACTATACAAGTACTAATAATAATGGCTGCATTCTAAACTCTATACAGAACAATGATCACTACCCATATTCACCCATTAGTTTATTACTAAAACTACCTGGGTCACCAAATCCTGCATCCATATCATCAAAATCTGGAGCTTTCTTACGTCTCCAGCTGCTGAAGGGAGACTTGGAGCGAGACCTTCTTTTTTCTTGTCCTTATCAGGAGATGGGGCTTAAAAAACCATGCGGGTTATTTATAGCATGCAGGTACTTAGACAAATTATTAATAAAAACAGCTGCCACAATCTGTATGTTTCTCATGTAGCTTTAAATTACAGCATGTGTTCTTTCCTAATGTCAGGCCACCATGACTTGAAATTGTTTACACAGTTACTCTCTTCGGTACAACTTTGTGCTTTTATATATCTCTAAACAAATCAGAAAGGTAATTTCCTTGCATAATCTACAGTAATGAACAACTTTTTTAATGTGTGATCTCTCTCTTTATATAGGACAACGAGTACACAAACTAATTATCAAAAGTTAATATTTAAAGTTGAGGACTTGTATGACATGTATTAGTTAATGTGAGATTAAGGCAGCTGTTTCCATCAACAAAAACAAAACAGCAAACAAAACAAACAAACAAAAAAAGAAACATGTTATAAACAATAAAAAGAGTGAAAAAATAAATAAAGAAAGAAAATGGGGTATTTTTTTCATGACTGTGAGAGTTCAAGGTGTTAAAGTTATGAAGCATTTCACGTACAATTTTATGAACCATTCTAAAATTGCATTATAAAAATTACATGTAATTTGTTCCACACAACAGTATATTGTTGAAAGGACTATCTTTTGATGAATTATTTGGTTACTCCTGGACACAGATATAAGTTTATAATTTTACCTTTTAGTATATCAACTTATTAACAAAAATGATTTTTCATATTTTAAGATGTACATGAAGGTTATCCTTATGCATAATTATTTAATTATAGAAACTTCTACAGAATCACTGTAATATTATGTTTGTGTGTGTGGATATCTAACGTTTCTATGATCAAGAATAATAATACTAAAAAATAAATATGAAGCGCAACTAATTAATCAATTTACCACTTGTCACCGAGTTATACAGGTTTTGGGGAATTCTACCCCTTAATAGTAATCATTGACAAAAGCAAATCCAAAAAATAAAGGCTACACTACATATAGTGGTGCAGTGTGTGTGTGTGTGTGTGTGTGTGTGTGTGTGTGTGTGTGT